ATATAAAATGGAAAAATAAGTAGGATTTTAAAATAAAAATCCTTTAATATATGACATATTTATAGTCATTGATATTGTCAAAGATATGATAAAAAGGATATTTAAATAATGGAATTAAATTGTAATATATTTGGCCAATAAAATAAATTGGATACAACTAATATCAAACATAGATACAATTTCATACACAAGAATGTGTATACCACAGAAAATGTTGAAAATCAAGATTTTATATCAAGAGAAAATTAAATTCAAACAAATAAAATAGAAACAAATTAATTTTACATGTTAAAATCTAGTAGACAGGAAACATATCAAAAAGAGTAAAAGCTGGCTTTTAAAAAATTCCAAACATTGGTAAGTACTTAAGCCAAAGTTAGAGGAAAGAAGATAAAAGTAATGATAATCAAAGCTTAGAAAATGATATCACTATAAGTTCTACTCACTTGTGAAGATTGTAGCAATATATGTTAAACAATGTTTTGATAATTCAGATAAAATAAGCCTTTATAAGAAACATTAAGTGGGACTGAATATGTGTTAATAGAAAATCAGAAACTTTAATTAATAAACAACACAATGAATTTGTAAGTTAAAATATATTTTAAGGGTCCAATTGTCCTCACTATTAAATCATCTTCAAATACAACAGTAGCAAATGAAATTACAGAAACACTATAGAAAATGACCAAGATAGAACCATAATCTCAAGTGTTTTTTTTTTAAACTAACATAATCTCATATCAAAATCTGCAAGGGCACTACAAGATGGTAGTTAGCACCAAAAATTGTTAGTAAACAAAGTATAAAATAACTTAACAGTATGCTATTTATTTTTTCTGTGTCTAAATTTATAATTAAAGATAGTGGAACTCCCTGGTACCCTTAACTTCCATATCACTATATATGACACTATGTAAAAATCTTTCTAATCTATTGGTATCGTCCTTGTTCAGCCAATGCTTAAGAAGTAATGTTGGTAAGACTTTATGGGTAAAGTTTCTGACATTACTGAGGAAAAAAAATCTATCTCACAGCAAACTCTTTTGCTCTCTTTCCTTTGAGAGATGGGCCAAGATGCCTCTCCTGTTTTTTTCTGGAAGAACAGAAAAACAAGGATCTTGGGCAGTCAAGTACTTGAGTGAAAATATCAGGACAAAGCTTATTTTTATCATCATACCCCCATAATAACAGCTACAAGTTTACAGCTCATTAGAGAAGCTTGCTCAGCTTGTTCAAAGTTACACAAAGCACAGCAATGTCATTTGTCTTCAGAAAAATATCTAAAGTATTCAGAAACAATTTGCCTTACTATTCTCCAGAAGCCAAGGAATGTAGCACGCATTTATTTGCCCCTCTCACATTTGTTGTTTGAGAATTATCAACATCAGAGTTTCTCAAGCCCATGTCACAACTTTATTATATACCATATAGCTTTAATTCAAAATCCAGTGTTTCTTACAACCTTTCTCCCTCTTCTGAAAAGATCTCTCAAGAGCAGAGTGTTTTGAAGAAATATTCTTTGGAACTGAGCTCGACAACTTTCCATTTTGATTCCTGTAGTGGGCTACATCTGTTGCAAGAAGCTTAGTTCATGAATTGTAACTACACTTGCCTATGAGTATAAGGACAAATGTATAGACTGCTGTTAGAGATTGTACAGATTTAGTAAAGTAGTGATTGTAGGTTCTCCTCCAATATCAGTGACTTCACTTTTACTATGAAGGACCCCAACCACAATTATAACATTTTGCACAGGGTTGTAAATAACCAGCTTAATCAAGGAATTAAGGGCCTTCAAGACCTCCGGAATTCCGGGTCTCTGGAATGCTGAGCAGAGATACTTAAAGTTAGAGCCGGGCAGCCTTATCTGGCGGCGAGATAGGGGTTTATGGACTGGCCATAGAAACAAAGAGAGGATTGCGAGGCCTGAGTCACGTATAAAGCGAGGCTCCCACGAGTCAGGGGCTGTGCAATCAGACATCTAGTCGCCAGCCAAGGAAGGGAGGAAGGATAAGAGAAACAGTAAACCGCTGAATAATCCCCTCATTGTTATTTAGGTTAAGAATTTACTAACCTGCATCTCGCTTCTGTAAACCTTGCTTTTTGCTCTCCTATAAAAACCCCTCAACCCCAACTTGGGGGCGCAAATCCTCCGAAAGATTTGTCGCCCCCAGGTACCTGTGTATCCAATAAACCTCCTGCTGTTTGCATCCGGCTGCGTGTTTTCGACTGATCTTTGGGCACGGGGTCTCTCCCGAAGGAAGACGCCCTCGGGAGTCTTTCAACTACATAATTGACTAATGTTTCAACACCAGACATATTTTCCCTCTTGTTGAGTGAATATTATGTTCAATTGGAGAGCTGTTAGTTACCTCCATGATGTATGCCACTACTGTACGCTTAGTGTTATTATGGTATGACTGTTGTTGATATGGTTCATTGGCATCATAGCTAGGTGGGACTGATGATTTCCTTCCTCTTTTGGAAGTTTGCATGACAATTTCTGGTATCATAAAAAAGCTATTTTTTCAGGGAATAAACATTCAGGTCAGTTGCAACTTAGGGGCCTCTGGGTACTGTTTCTGAAGTTTATGGCTTCTTCAGCAATAAAGTCTTAAGCTGCCTAAGGGCAACAACAATATGTTTCATTTTGGGGGGAAGGGAGACTCTTGCACAACCCTGGCCAACAACTCGAAAGAGAAATTTTCATTACTAGTATTTGAATATTTGTTAGGTAGACGTTGGCTCTTAATGAAAAAGGAGATAATGAATTTGAAACAAATAAAGGAGGAGTGTATAGGAGGGTTATGAAGGATGAAATTGAGGGGAGAAATTATATATATGTATATATATATATATATAATCTCAAAAATAGAAGAAATATATTAAATATTAGTTTTACAAATGTTCAATAAAATACCCCTGTACTCATACCGTTTTTCATGTAGCTTATCTTCATAATATTTTAATGAAAGTATATATATTCATCTTATACACTATAATATCTTATATTATATGACCCCAGTGTATGGGTATAAAAATGTTTGCTACATTTACTGTTATATATTATTATTGCCTTCAGTTTTCCAATATTAAAAAAAAATTGAATATTGTGTGTTAATTTTTAAATTATATTTACTCAGTGTATATGTGATTATGTGTGTACATGTGTGTGTGTATGCATTGAAGGGTCTGAAGACAAGAATAAAAATATAGAAATAGAAATATAGACACTAAAGATTAGAAGGCAGAAGTTTAGGATGTAGGAAGAAGGACACATAAAGCTGTAAACCTAAGTAAACTATCAACAACTTTCCCAGCAGATCACAGATCAATCTTCACAGGGATTACTTTCTCGGATGCCTGGGAAATCTCCATCACGTTAGCTATTTACAACTGACTTTTTTATTACAAGGCCAGAGCATCTCCCTGTAAACTGAGGGTAGTGTCTTGACTGTCCTTAACAAACAGTAGGTGTGAACTGAGTTTAACCCTTAGGAGACAGAGATATGTGACCTCTGAGTCAGACACTGTTTCTGTTATGGGAGACTGGCACTACCAGAGGAGAGGCATGACCTCAGTTTGTACTCAGGGATACCAGGAGACAGTGGATAAATAAAAGAAGGTTTTAATGAGCTCTGATAATGAAAGTTGTAAAGTATGGCAGTCAATTTACCTAAAAATAATATGAAAGACTTTTCTTCTAAGTTATCAGTCCAAGAATCCTAATTTATTAACCTTCTAGTGTTACAAGCAGCCCCCTTTCTGACGAATTGCTAAAGATATATGTTTTCTTGCAATTAGAGACTTTCGTTGTAGTCTCTCCTAAAACATATTTCATGATGGCTGCCTAATTACTCATGGACACTAGCACTCACTCCCCTCTTTAGGGTCTCCGCTGACCAACCCAAGGGTCAGGACAAGGTTGTAAAATTCTTTGGTTCAGGGATAATGCCTGGTGCCCCTGCTATAAAAAGGAGGTTCAAAAACCAGCCGATTGCCACAGCCTAACAAACACCATTTCTGGCTGTGGTCTCAGCTAGCTGATAAGCTTCTGTGCCCCGCGGTGTTTTATTTTTATTTTTTATTTTTAAGTTTGCTTCTGGTATTCCTAGGATCTGGTTTCTGGAATAAAGTTTGCTTCTGGTTTATTAGACTTGGTGGTGCTCTCATCTTTGCGCGTCCCCCCTGGACCCAACATGCATGTGTGTGTGTGTATGTTTGTGTTTGTACCAGAGAACAACTTGATGGAGTTGGTCTTCTCTTTCTTCTACGTGGAGTTCAGGGATCAGGCACAACTACCCATACTTGAGAGGAATTATCATTACCCATTCAGCCATCTCCTGAACCTGCAATATTCTTATATGAGTAGTTTTGAGTCTCAGAAAACATGTTTTGATTAAATAATGTGTTGGTGGAAATTCTATGTAAACTAGAATTAAATTTTAAAAATTATTTTACCTTCTTTATCTTTTATCACTTCTATTTCCAAGTTTTTTCAAACTGTATAATATAGTCACATCTTGCTAACTCTTTCGGTTACATCAGTAATTCCGATATCACTCAATTTCAACAGGCCAGAGGTTGTACCACCCACAGTGAGTTGATTCCTTCCACATCAATCGTCATTGGTCAAGGAAACATCTCATGGACTTGCCTAAAGGCATACCCTGTCAGGGTGTTTATTTTTCAATTAAGATGGTTAGCTCCAAAATGATTCTATCTTGTGTCAAGTTAACATAAAACTACACAACACAGTAGGCCTATTTCGAACAATGATCTAAACCATTGTTGAAGAAGTATTTATTGGAAAAATTAAATAAAAAGTAAAAAGTTGAAACTGATAAGAATACTGTCAGTTTAATCATTTGACTTAAATACTATATCTAAATTTTTGAGACAACTAATTTCTACACAGAGAACTCTGTAGAAATATCTGTACATACACACATGTGTACACAGACACAAACATACAAAACCATAAAAATTGTTATTCTCTAATTTCCCCCTTCTTCCTCTTCTTTGTCAATGCCTGTAATATAAATGATATTATTACAACCTATTAAATCCATATTAAAACTTTTACCAGATGTTAAGATAATGCCCCATTTGTAGATTTTTCTGTATTTACAATCTTTGTATTCATGTAACCATCTGCAGATAGCAGGTAGCCTTTATACTTCATTCCTTTGTTATGTTTCACCATTGCTAGTTTTCTTGTGAATACATTGAGAAAAGGAATTGGATTGAGGGATAAAGGCATTGTAAACACTAATGAGTGCTGCAAGCCATAAGTCACTGACCCTGTCTTTGCTGTTTTCTGATGACTAGAGTAGTTGTTGCTAAACATTTTTAAGATAGGAAAAAATAACTTCCTCTGACATTAGTTCTGCTTTTAAAATGACACCTTTTTAAAGAAGGATGCTTAAAGAAATCCCATACTCGCTCAGAATTGAGAATAATAGAGGTTATTTATTTAGGGGTAAAGTCATAAGTCACAATTCAGTACTGGAATGGAGAACAACAACTGAATCCCACAACCTGAAGAGAGGCTGGACACATGCTTTACATTGGCATAAATAGTATAAGAGGCCATGTCCAAGTAGGCAGGTAACTTACAGGCTTCTAGGAATAGAAATTCCTACAGCACCTTTTGTTTAAATAAGAGAGTTCTAAGCCTAATACAAAATTACATACAATATGAACAAATATATCAAGCAAGAAACATGTGATAAATATTTTAATAATTATCCTATTCTAAGGCGTTTAAGTTTTATATAATAAATAACTTGGCAAAGTAATGAGAGGAATGTAACCACAACTATCTAGTCTTTGACCCTGTCCAAGATCCAAGAATGGAAATAATATTACTTGAGTAAGCAGGAAATACAATCCAACAACTTCCAAAAAGTCCAACAAATGACAAAGACAACTGGCTACCTGGGAAATCACCAAAAGTCTCATTTGTGACATTGAAGTAACCAACTTTGGTTATGGCCTAGTGTAACTGACAGACCATTTTCATAGGCAGGAAAATTTTCAAAACTGTCTTACCCTATCTTGGCAAGATTTGACAGTCTTTTTCTTTGTGTACTGCTTATGCATTTCCGGATAGCATGTACTTTGTCAGTGGTTGAGGCATGGGCAGTTCCTTGCTCAAAGGCCAGATTTTCCAAAAAGAAAACAAGTTCCAAATGGAGTTTCTTCAGTGCCCAACATTCTCTCTGGAATAGATTGGTGCTGCTCATGCCAGGAGCCATCATGTCTCACATTAACAGAAACTTAAGTTATTTAAATGACATATTCTATAACTCTTTGAAGTGATTGAAGATTACCTATATATGCAGAATACAATCTCTATGTATCTAAAGAACGTGATTAGTCTAAATATAAGTATGACAAACATAGATAACTATTGATCTATAATTCTTAATACCTATATAACTTAAAAATTAACACTTCATATTAGAATATTATACAACAAAAAATTATGCAACAAATGAGGATAATAACCTTAAAATGTAAACAATGTATAAGTATCTTGATCAGAGGTAGAAATGTACATTGTAATATGGTAAAAATATCTTAAAATTGTATCACTATACAAAAATGTTTTAAGCAGAGGTAAAAGCATTCATGCATACAATATGACAAGGTAACTTTGTCTAGATATACAAATATTGTGGACAAAAATAGGAACATATTCAACATAATTTAAATTTGTATCAATATACAAGAATATATACCAATGTAAATTGGCTATACATAATAGCTCACAAGAATTCACTCTATTATTCACTAGTATTATTAGTGTAAGTAAACTTACACTAATCTATTATCCCATCCAATCCCTTCTCCCATTTTTTTCGCTCTCTTAGGTTTTAAGTGGATTTTGTTTGCCATGTGGGTGCCAATTTATTGCAAGGAGAGAGACTGCTTGGTAATTCCCCGTTGCTCAATCCCAGAATAATTACACAGAAACTGTATTAGTTAAGTCACTGCTTGACCCATTAGCTTTAGTTTCTTATTGGCTAACTCTTACATTAATTTAACCCATTTTTATAATCTGTATATTGTCATGTGGCTATGGCTTACTGGGTAAAATTCATAAAGTCTATCTGAAGGCTCCATGGCTTCTCTCTGAGTTTACCTTCCTCCTCTCATGCTATAGGCCAAGCCAGTTCTTTATTCATAACCAATAAAAGCAACACATATACAGAAAGACCTCCCACACCACTTTTTGATAATCCTCTCTTTTCTTGGTACTCTCTTAGGGTTAAATGCTATAAATAGACACCACACACATGGCATAGCAATTCTTTTTTTGTTTGTTTATTTGTTTGGATTTTGAAGACAGGGTTTCTCTGTGTAACAGCCCTGGGTGCCCTGGAACTCAATCTGTAGACCAGAATGGCCACAAACTCAAAGAGGTCAACCTGCCTCTGCCAACCAATGGCTGGTTCATGGAAATTTTTATACAGAAAAACATTTAATTATGACTGACTTACAGTTTAGAGGATTATTCCATTACCATTATCATGGCAGGAAGCATTGCAGCACTCAGGCTGACATGATGCTAGAGAGGTAACTGGAGAGGTAGAGTTCTACAACGGGATCTGCAGGCAGCAGGAAAAGAGAAAATCAATGGAAATGACTGGTGCTTCTGAAATTTCAATGCCCACTCCCACTGACACAGTTCTTCTAAAAAGTCCACACCTTCAACAAGGTTAAACCTACAGTAATACTACCCCCATGAGTCTATGGGGTACATTTTCATTCAAACACCCACAAGTAATAGTAGTTTTTGCTTTGGTTTACTTTTGTGCATTTTACTTTTTTGGTTTGCTTGTTTGATTCTTTGTTTTTTGAGACAGTGTCTCTCCATATAGTACAGAGAATCCTGAAACTTACTGTGTATTCCAGGCCTCAACACCAGGAGCTTATATAATACTATCTTTAGTTTTTGTGTACATAGTATTCTAATGCATATTATAATGATTTTCTATTATTTTCTATTTTAGCAGAAATAATACACCACTGGGCTCTCACTGGAGTTGCTCTTGAAGATCCTCTTGTCCTGTGTTCTAGGAATTCTGCAGTTTTGAATTTGCAGTTTATTCCCCTTCCCATGCTCCAACAATTCATAGATTAGGTGGATATTAGTGTGGGTCAATTTATAACCCTGGTTCTAGACTCGTGTGGTATCTGTGTGGTTAGCCTATCAGCATTCTACCATTTCTACCACCCAGGTGATCTCTCAAACAATACCTCAGCCAGCCCACCCAATGCAGTGTGTAGCAAGGATCAGGGGCAGTTATTACCACCAGAGCCAGCTCCACTGTCTTGCCTAGGCATAATACAGAGCACATATCTTTCTTGATTGCTGTAAGGGATGTACTAGGTAGCACATCCTCATACTCTCAAGTCCTCAGGGCTGTATCACATGTTACCCTGATGTCATGGTTAGATCTAGTGTGCTGCCATGGTAGGCTACAGGCTTTGTTCTACTGTGTGCTGCACCTAGTGAGAGGCAAGGCTAGTTGTCATACTCTTGTGACTCTGAGACCAGCTCTCTCATCTCCCACAGGTAGCAAGGTATAGATAGGGGAGGGCGTCTTTCCCTCACTCATGCTACCACATGGTAAACAAAGGGTCTTTTCTTCTGCTCTCATGCCCTCAGGGCTGACTCACCTACACCACTTGTTCAGTCTAAAGAGTCACCTAAGTGTACTGCCCAGGAAGGCTGCAGGACACACTCTCCCATAAGCTAGAGCTGGTGAGGGACAGTGCTAGTTCTTAAAAACTTCTGGTGGCAGCACCAGTTCTTTTGTTCACTGTGGGTGCAAAGGGGTGGTGGTCAGAGGGCATTTTCCCTCACTCATGCCATCACATTGGCAGAGAGTTCAGCTCTGTTGCTCTCAAAACCTCAGGGCCATCTCACTTGATTTCCCAATACAGAGTAAGCACTAGTCTGCTGCCCAAGTGAAGTGAATGTCCATAGTGAGGGATGGGGCCTGATGAAGAATCTGGTCTCCTGCTGTAGTATCCAGAGAGGGGCAGGGCCAGATACACCAGGGCCAGTGATGGCTGTGATCCTGAACTATAGATTCCAGGCAACACGTGGTTATGGCCTGCTGCCAGCTTTAGCATCATGGCATGGTGCATAGTTATTATTGTTGTTATGTTGGGGTCACAGGCTAAAAGCACTGGGCAGCTTTTTGTTGAACCTACCCCTACCAGCACATGGCATGGTGCTAAGTTGTTGCTCTGTTGAACATTAACCTAAAGCTAGAGACAGTGGGAAACTCCTGGTTGAGTCATGGCACACACCACAGTATTTCATGGTGAAAAGATACTGCTGTTGTTGCATTACAGTCTAGGGCTTGAGACCCCATGAGGCTCCTTCTTGAGTACTGCTACACTATCCTTATAGTATGTCATGGAGATTTTGCTTTATGTTGGGTTGTACCTGTGGGTTAGAGACTCCAGGGGGTCCTGTTTGAATACTGACCCAGCAGCCTCATGGCATGTAACAAAGATGTTGTTGTTGCTGTGTTTCAACCCTGGACTAGAGACCTTGAATAGTTCCTAGTTGGGTTCTGCCCCTGCCAGGAGCTGTTACTGTTGTTGTGTCATGGCTCTGGACTAGAGACATGGAGCAACTGTAGTAGTATCAAAGAGTTACACAATAGCCTGGAATGGAGTGGAGCAAAGGTTTATTTATTTGGGAATAAACTCATAGTATGGGTAGCAATCTAGAATCCTCTGTGCATTCTGTGAACTGGAACCAGAAGCAGTAGTGAAAAGGGTGACCATGCATGCTTTTCTTTTGCACTTATAGTACATAAGACCTTGCCCAAATTGGGCCAGTATCTTAAAGGCTATTGGCTAAAGAATTCAGAAAACACCTCCCACTTTTGTCTAAATAAGAAAGTTCTAAGCCTAATAAAATCTATATACAATAAGAACAAATACCAACTATTGTCCAGGGAAAAGAAGAGGCAAGAATACATAAAAATTAGAACTACAGGCATCATGAACAACATTAAACAAGAAACACATGCTAAATCTTTCAATAGTTATCCTATCCTAAGGAGTCTAAAAAGTGGGGGGGGGGGCGCTGGATGGAATAATAGATTAGTGTGAACTCACTCACCCTAATATTAATAGTGAGTAATAGTGTGAATACTTGTGAGGTATTATTTATAGTCAATTTACATTGGTATAGATTCTTGTATATTGATACAAGTTTGAATATATTAA